AACGACGCTGATTCACGTGGGGATGATTTAACACGCCAGCCTCCCCAGCTATCCAAATTCTGCTGCAGGTTAATTCCCAGAGTGGATCCGTGCCACTTTTTCATCCATTCATAGCTTGGCTTATTAACTTAAGCTGCCAGAGGTTTACAGTTCAGCTATTCCACTGAATAAACTATCCCCTGACTGTAGTGGGTGAGCTGCCGCTACGTATTTGCCTCTCCCACATTGCTACAAGGGTGGAGAGCCCTGGGACAAGGAGTGCAATACCAGCAGAGCGTTCATTGCCCTTAACATGTCACAGGATCCCGAGCATCAGAAACTCATTCGTATCAGTGAAACTCAATAGGAAAAAAAAGGGGAGAAGCTCTCTGCCCCACATCTGAGTCACAGTTACCTGTATGGGTCTGCAATAGCCCAGCAGAGCCCGGGGATGGCAGATCCCCTTGGCTTGTGGGTCTTTCACATCCTACCTCATCTCTTGCCAGGTGGGAAGCACATGTAGACCCTTGTAACTCCCAGGGATCTTCTCCCAGGCAGGCAAGATCTGAGGATGGGGCCTGAGGGATAAAAGGTCTGTAGGGTGCTAACAGAGGCTTTGAAAGGATCGCTTAGCACAGCAAAGGAGTAGCATGCTTTTTCACTTGTGTGCCTGCATGAGAGCATTTGGGGTACAGGACCACTACTAATAAGCCACCATAAACAGATCAATATGTCAGCACTTTAGAACTTGAATCCAACCAGCTATGGGGAATTTGTCCCTTGGTAGCAATCAATCCGCTGTACTTAAACTTTCCTGACCAGACCTGCAGCTAGGACAAGCTGATCAATACTGTTCCAAGTCAGCAGAGCACAACAGCTTTGCATGCCCCCATGTTCACTCTCACAAGCCTCCCCCTTTGCAAGGACATGTGGGTTAAATTACGCTTTGTTAAACATGTGGGACATCTCAGACTAACACCCAGGTCTTTACGTCAAACCAACCTCTCTAATGACCAGACCAGTGCAGGCCGGGTGATACGGAGCACCTTGCCAGGTGGAAACTGATTTTGTCTTCTCCAGGCACTTACAAGCAGATGCAGCCAGATGAATTCTGTGAGCCACCCAAACCTTGCTGTGCATCGTAAATAGGGCACTGCTGGTAGAAGGATCTTCCCAGGTGGTGGTGTGGAAGACCTACAGTCCTATGGGACGCTAGGCTGCTCTTTCAGAGGGGTTAGGAAGAATTACAGCAGAAGAGAGAGGACACGAGAGACCTGACAAAGATCTCAACAGCCTGGCTTTGGTTTAAAAGAATAGTCATGCTGCTGAGCGAGGATCAAGGGCTGCATCCTAGTGTGTTGTAAAAACTTCTCCCGTTTGGGCTGTTAACAAGCTCCCTGGGACCCGCTCGCCAGGGATGTTGCTTATGGTTGCCCTGTTTCAGGCGCATCCTCAGGGGTGGAGTTGCCACTGCCCAGAGGCCACCGGGCAACAGCACCTCGATGGGCTCATTTCTCTGCCCTCGAGAGATGGCTCTCGCACACCGTGAGGGCAGTGTGCCATGTTCCCAATCTGCGTGCCAGGCCCTCCCTCTTTCAGATGGCAGCTCTGAGGTATCAGATTCTCCCCCCAGCCCTCCACGAGGTTTGTGACACTCACCGCTCCTGCTCCTGACACAGCACCCCCTTCCTCAGGGCTCGTGACACAGGCACAGCAGAATTGCCCCCCTGCAGCCACCACCTTGGCACTTACGCTGCTTTCTGATGGCTTCTTATGATCAAACCCTGGAAAATCACAGGAAGGCCATGCTCTGCCCTCTTTAACAGCTGCAGTGATTGACTGTCTGGTGCATCTCAAGAATCTGTTCCGCCAGGCTGTCTCTTGCTCTCCACCTTTCGTAACAAGATACCCACCTCCAACTGTTGTGGGGAAAAGAGCTATAGACTGCACTTGGCCCCTCTCCTTCAGGGTGCTTTCCTGGTCCTTGTTCTCTGCTTTCCTGCTCCTTCTCTGGGCAGGAGGCCTAAGCAAATGCAAAGCACTGGGCTTTGCAAACCTGCAGGAATTCATGTTCTGATTTTCCTTCTAACGTCTCACCTGGAGCGGAGGCTGCAGGCAGCCCAGCTCCCTGCGTTTCTTGTGCAGTGGGTCCCCAAGCTTCCCTTTGAACTGCTATGGTGCAGAGCCTGTTCTGCTCGGCTGAGTTTGAGATAGGCAGGAGATACACGGCGGCAGCTTACATGCTGGCTTATTTCAAGCTTCACAAGCTGCCCTGAAAATGTATTGTGTAATTTAGGCGCCTGATGTACTGAACTGAGCAGAAGAGATTTCAATTACCAAGGTAAAAATAATTCCCTGAGAACAGAGATTCCTTCTGTTCTTCCTGACTGTTGCAGCGAGGAGCCTGCAGTGCTCACAGCCCATGCAGATTGCATCGTTCAGCTGCTGGGTTCTGGCTAAAGGGGAACTGCTGCAGTCTGTGTCAGGCCCGATAGGCTCCCAGTGCTGTGGAGAATGGCTGGGCACGGATACTCAGGTATCAATTGCCTTGTGCTTTCTTCTTTTTCATGCCTGGCCTATGGAGGCACCCCATTTCTGGACAGCTAATGAATAAAACTGTGAAGAAATCTCTCTGGCTAAGAAGGGGTTGCTTTTTGCAGGGGAGTGGAGCTGCTAACGCAGTGCTGTGGGCGGTTTATCTGCTGTGCCACTTAGCCCTGCAGCGGAGTCAGTTCACTGTGATGGGTCACAGTTTGGATAAGTGACTCTTGGCCCTGGGGCAATGCGATTCCAGCAAATGTTAGAGTTCAGCACACTTTCTACAGCGGAAAGTGATAGAAATTCAGGGTTGGCGTCAAGCACTGAACTTGTCTGATGTCACTGAGGTGCTCCTGGGCCACATTTAAAACAGCTCACACTGTGATGCTGCAGCACAAGTGGTTTCCATTAGCAGTAATGTGTCTGCCCAAGGTAGTCAAGGATCAGCAGTGCCTTCTTGGTGGGCACTACTCATACATCTGTACACACCTTGTAAGTTGATTGCCACTTCACACCCTATGGACATTTTCCGTATTCCAGATAAGAAATCTGCCTATGAACCTAATGGCTTGTACCTCATCTAGAGAGAGATATTCTTCTGGCACAAAGAAATCAGGGTTCTCCACCCATGGTTTAGGCAGACTGAGGAAGCCAAAACTGCACCTCCTGTCTCAACTTCTCATCATCTCATTTACACCGGAGGCCCTAGCAGGGCCACAAAGGCTAAAGGAAACACAGCCCTGCACATCTGCCCCTCCAAGCACAAGGGGAAAATGCACAGGAAGATGGAGAGAGGCAGCCACCCACACAGGCCTCGGCCACCTCCCCTGCAGCTCCTGCCTGCCCGGGCTGTGCAAGGAGGGCGCCTGCAGGAGCCGGCTTAGGACAGGGCGCCAGGACCCACAGGAGCAGGGGGAGCTGTGATGGGGTTACCCAGTTGTGCAGGCCAAGGGGGTTCAAAGCCTGGAGCAGAGGCAGGTGTCTCCCTGCAACAGCAGGAAGGAGCCCACGAGGCAAGTTAGGTAGGAGTGGAGTTGTGAGAGGCCATGTGTCTGCCGGAAGGGAGTGTGAAGGAGGGACTGTGGGGGGGCCAGGTGTTCTCCCAGGTGCCCTTACCCCAGGGGGTCCATCTGGGAAGCACAGTGCCAGGTGGAGGAAGCTGGAGAGGCTCCAGGAGCCAGCCCGGGCAGTGCAGGCTGGGGCTTGGGGAAAAGCTGCTCCTGTGGGAGGCACTGTGGTCACAGCCACCCGAGCCAGCGGCCTCTACTGAGGAGGGGTGGCGGGGCCTCCGATAACCTTCGTCCTCGCTACCCAGGGGCAGCCAGCACTGGCCGTGCGGGCGCAACACTCACACACTGCCCTGCTCTCCTGCAGGAGTTTCACACGCTGCTCCTGGGAGGCAGGCACGACTGCTCCGGGTGCGAAGGCCGGGAGAGCGATTAAGGTCAGGGATGACGGCAGGGACAGGAGGGCTCTCGCTACAGCTCTGAGCACAGACGGGGCTGATGCCCTGGAACAGCAGTGCCGCCGCACACCGCGGCGCCTGCAGGAGAGCGCGGGCCGCTGCTGAAGCCGCTTGGCCAGGAGGGCCCCGCGCTGCACGGGGAAGCC